CACAACTTCTAGAGACAAGTTGTTCCACTGATTAATTGTTCTCACTGACAGGAAATTTCTCCTCAGTTCTAAGGTGCGTCTCTCCTTGATGAGTTTCCACCCATTGCTTCTTGTTCTGCCCTCAGGTGCTTTGGAGAACAGGTTGACTCCCTCTTCTTTGTGGCAACCCCTGAGATATCGGAAGACTGATATCACGTCTCCCCTGGTCCTTCTTTTCATTAAACCACAGATACACAGTTCCTGCAACTGTTCTTCATATATTTTAGTCTCCAGTCCCCTAATCCTCTTGGTTGCTCTTCTCTTCGCTCTTTCTAGAGTCTTAATATCTTTTCTACATCGTGGCAACCAAAACTGGATGCCGTATTCCAAATGTGGCCTTACCAAGGCCTTATAAAGTGGTATTAACACTTCACGGGATCTTGATTCCATCCCTCTGTTGATGCAGCCTAGAACTGGGTTGGCTTTTTTGGCAGCTGCTTCACACTTGACCTTGGGCTTGCTGGAGAGAGAGAGGTTCCCTGAGGATGGGTTCCAGCACGAGCCCAAAAGCTCGCTTCGTTTAGTGACTGTTTCAAAGTTACAACGGCACTGAAAAAAAAGTGATTTGTGTCTGTTTTGACACGAAGCATCTTCATGATTTCATGTTCAAAGTTCAGACGCCGCATAAGTGGCTCACATTTATGATGGTTGCCGTGTCCCAAGGTCATGCGATCCCTTTTTACGACCTTCCGACAAGCAAAGTCCACGGGGGAAGCTAACAAACCTGTTACTAAGTGAACAATCACGAACAACATGATTTGCTTGTGACAAGACATGTCATAAAATGGGGAAAAACCCACTTAACCACTGTCTTGTTCAGCAGCATCCATTTGGGGGGTGGTGGTGTCAATTATGGTCATAAGTTGAGGACTACCTATAAACCTTTGGCCCTGGTGACCAAGTCAGATTGGATCCAGCACCTTGGATAGTTCCACAGGAGTTTTCAGGATGGATGGATAGGTGAATGTTGTCTGAGCAGGTAGCAAATATTCCCATGCCAATTACCTCCACTAGACCAATTAGATCCCACAGACTAGGCCTCCTCCGAATTCCATCCGCCGGCTGGCGACTACCCGGAGGAGAGCCTTCTCTGTGGCTGCTCCGACCCTCTGGAACGAACTCCCCGTGGAGGTTCGCACCCTCACCACCCTCCAGGCCTTCCGCAAAGCCCTTAAAACCTGGCTGTTCCGACAGGCCTGGGGCTAAAGAACCGTTGCCCCCGTCTCGAATGGTATGATTGTTGTGTGTTTTTAAATCATGTATTGTTTTTGTGTTGTTGTCAAATTGTTTGTATCCCCCCTTCCCTGTTTTGAGATGTGAGCCGCCCTGAGTCCCCCTTCGGGGGGAAAGGGCAGCATATAAATGAAATAAACACAAACACAA